TAATGACTTATGCTAGTCCCGCCTGGGAGTTTGCGGCAGACACTCATCTATTGAAATTGCAGCGCCTGCAAAACAAGGTTCTCCGCACGATTGGCAATTTTCCAAGGCGCACACCGGTCCGCGATTTGCACATGGCATTCAAAATCCCGTACGTATATGATTACATAACAAAATTATGCAGGCAACAAGCAGAAGTCATACAAAATCATGATAATGAGAATGTTCGCAACATCGGACAAGGCGAAGCCCGACACAGAAAGTATAAGAGGCTTAAACTTGGCGGCGGTCAGGCATACGACCGTTCAAGTGACTAGACAGCCGTGGTAGCAAATACTACTAGGATATATATGTTTATATATGAAAAGGCATAATCTGCTGTACCTAGCCTGGACTGAAAGAGGCTGTGTATATATTGTACATAGAAGTAAGGATTAAGTGTGTATTTGTAAACGTATGTAAATACAGACAATAGACTTAATACAGACTGACTGACAGATGACAGACCCGACCTCTCATCAGAGAGGGCGCTACACATAGACAGGACAGTAACTTTCATTGAAAAGAAATATCTGGTCATGAGCCCCAGCTGGGGCTCGACACCAAGACCGACAGACTGACTGACCGTCAGTTGTAACATGACCTGACCTGAAATGCGTGATAATGTGGGATGCTCCCACAATGTCTTCATTCTGAAGTGACTGAAATATGTATTCGTCATATAGGACGATGAATTCAAAATAATATATCTTTTCAGGATTCTTCCTACGTCGCACTCAAACACGCGAATAACGCCAATCCACTTTTATGTGAGCATTCCTGCTGGATCCAGCAGTACAATGCATGCAGTAACAGGACAAAACACAACACAGAACATGATACTTAAATATATGTAGGAGGAATGCTCACATAAAAGAGGATTGGCCTAATTCGGATGTTTGAGTGTGATGTAGGAAGAATCCTGAAAAGGTTTATTATTTTGAATTCAACGTCCTGTATGAGGAATACAGATTTTAGTCATGTTAGAATGAAGACATTATGGCATGCAGTACAATAGTTTAACGTGCATAAAGACACCTGAAGATGGCACATTAGTGCTGAAATATATAGTGTGGAAGTGAAGAATAAGGTGAAAAAGTGTATACACTCTAAGACGGCCAGCATAAACCATGGACATGAATCAATGTAATAGGATGCTAAAATATAACATTTGTAGAATAGGTTTGCTGTTTCTAGGATGTAGATCCGTGCAGTCAGGTAGGCTTTTACCGACGTTTTGGAAGCAACAGGTTCACTCAGAGTGGGTGAACTACCTGCCTTCAAAACTAAGCAACAGTCTGTTAAGACTACACAACTTGTAATAAGGCACTAAGCTTCATAATCTCTGCCGGCCTCTGCTGTGAGAACAAAGAAATGCACGTCACTCTATAACTTCTATATCACTATAGTTGTATATATGTACAACTTCTATATCACAAGGATTCTTGTAAATCCATTTGCCACCCACAAAAGCATCGTGTGATAAGATAAAGGTTCAACGTTATGAAAGATTCTGCACTCTCTTGCAGCAGGAATGCTGTATTTTCTGCTACAGAGAGCTGGAGAAACATTTCCTGCTGAGACAGAAAGGATGGTGAGTGTTTTGTGTTTGTGTGCGTAGACAAGTATTTTCTTGTCATGAGTCAATTCTCATATCTTAAGAAACTAAACTATTTATGCCAAGCTTTTGTTAGTATTCATAATCCATCTGGGGAGTTTACTTGGTTCTTCACATTATAACAGTTCGGTATAATATGTAGGAGAGGGTTTTATTCAAAGCGAGTGATATGGGTAGGTCAAGTAGCACACATGTGAGAATGAGAAATGCTTAGAAAGATTTTGACAGAAGGCCTGAGAGAATGAGACAATTGTGAAGATGGATTTTAAAGGTACAATTATGGGGGTTTTGACTGGGTTTGTGTCAGGATGCATGGACATGTGTGAACACAGTAATGAGTGCTTAGGTTCCATGAAGATCAGATACGTATTGTCTGTACTTCCACAGGAACCACAGGTTTCTCAGGAAGGTCCCTCCATTATGAACTTAACACTTGCTAAGATTATGAAGTCTGTAGAGAAGAAATCTGTACAGAGCAGCTGCTATGGGTTAGATGTAATGAGAAACAGCTACAGCAAGGGGAGCATATATTGTTTCATGTATGGTGTTGTACAGCCATGACTGATAGAAGATGTGATGCCTTTACAGAACTGTACAAATTCAGAGAAGGTTTTAGTGGGTCCCTATGGTGAGACATACCCAGCAAGTCATGATGCAAACCAGGCCATGAATGTAAAAGCTGAGGAAGTCTCAGACTCACAAGAGGAAGCGGATCCTCTGCAAATAACAGTTCAGGAAGTAAAGGCTGAACCTGAGGTGAGCTGTATGTTTCTATATATCCACTGTTAGGCAGGAATTCCAGTTGTCTATGTCATCTCCATCTGTCTGGCTGTCTGTCTGTGCACATGGGATAGCTCCACTGTGCTGCTCGCCTTTGAAGGCCTTTTTCTGAAGTGTCCCTAGACAGTTATAGTTTGTTGAATGTATGCTGCTTGTGATGTACCACTTCCATTTCCTTTTAAGCAGTTCTAATGCAGGTGAAATTACATTTTATGTAAACTGAACTGTATTTGAGAGAAATTCTATAGCAGCAAAAATCCATAGGGAGTCACAGAACTGTTTGCAGTTATTTAACACATGTTAGAACCAAGAATTTAAGTTACTAGAACTCTTGTGAGCTAATTCCAATGAATCACACAAGATATTTTTTCATTTCTCTTGCAACAAGAGTGGCAAGAATTGTACTGTATGGAACTGAAGAAACAGTTCTTGCTGTGAGAGAAAGTACTGTGTTTCATGCTTGTGTTCTCAGACAAGAGTTTTATTTTCATATATCAGTTCTCTTTGTCAAATAAACTAAATATTTAGTGACCAGCTTCTGTTTGTTTGCATAATCCATGTGGGGAGTTCCTTACACTTGGGTGATACAGTTTGGGATATTATGTAGGAGAGCAATGAGTTCAAGGAGAGAGATGTGGGTAAGTCATGTAGTGCACATGCAACAGTGAGAAATGCATACAAAGAGAAGAAAAACTTGGGAGACCTGAGTGCGAATGGAAAGTTGCTATTAAGATAGATTTTAAAGAATTAATTTGGAAGGGTTTGTACTGAGTCTGTTTGCCACAGAATATGGAGCCATGTTGAAGACAGTAATGGGCCTTTTCTGGCTTTCTCAACAAATCCTGTATGCATTGCTCTTCTCCAATATTCCTGCTAGATGAGCTGTCCATCTCATCCACCATGACTTTAGCTTTTAGATACAATAAATAACTTCATGGAGCTGAGTGAGTCCTTGAGAAGCCACCAGTTGCTTGGCCACTGAAGAATTTCCCAACATTGTATAGAACCTGGAAGTTTATTGACATGTTTGCGAAAACCTGTCACAAGTCCCTATCCTGAGCCATATGAATCCATTCCATTTAAATGTCTTCCCACCTATGCCTAGGCCTTCCTAGTGCTCTCTTTCCTTCTGGCTTTCTCAGCAAATCCTATATGCATTCCTCTTCTCCCCCATGCCTGCTATATGAGCTGCCCATCTCATCCTCCTTGACTTGATCATATAATTATGCTTGGTGAACAAAGTTACAAGTTGTGGAGCTCTTCATTGTGATGGTTTTAGGTACCAAAGGAAGCAGATATTTTCTGTACTGCTGCAGTGACCGATAGTTTTTCAGGAAGGTCACTGGGCTTTGAACCGAGTACTTTCTAGTGATCATGATAGCTGTAGAGAAGAACATCTGTACAGAACAGCTCTTATGAATTAAATGCGATGATAAACAGCCATAGCAAGGAAATCATATGCTGTTTAATGTGTAGTGTTGTGCATCCATTTCTGAGAAGGATGTGATGTTTTTTACATAGCTATAGAAATTCAGAGAACTCCTTAGTGAGTCCGTATGGTGAGACATACCCAACACCTCATGATGCAGATCAGGCCATGAATGTAAAAGCTGAGGCAGTCTCAGATGCAGAAGAGGAAGAGGATCCTGTCCCAATAACATTTCCGGAAATAAAGGCTGAACCTGAGGTGAGCTGTATGTGCACTGTTAGGCAGATAACACAAATGTGCAGAAATGCCGCTTGTCTTTTCTGTGAACATGAAATAACACCACTGTGCCGTTGACTAGGTTTTGAAGGATTTCCCCCCCCCCCCGAAATATTTCTAGGCAACTGTAGTACGTTGAATGTTGCGTGTGATGTACCACTCCACTAAGCAGTGCTTTGTTACCACATCATAGAGTTCCCAGAATCTATAAATGCTGAAGTTTATCATTTATTTGTTTTCTGTCTTGATGCAGTCTGTATCGATGTCATAACATACAGCTGTCATTGTGTTGAGGATTTGTTATAGGATAACTAATGATTCTCTATAGCTTTGTGATAATATTTGACAGATTATAGACACGTGTTGCCTGTTGCCCTTTGTTTGAAGTAAATTTAATATACCTTACACTGTTGGAGTGGCCTCTGTACCTGCTGTCATTTGATTGGTTGTCATAACAGATTTTTTTGTTGTTTTCGGTTAGACAGAATGATAACTAAATGTTACGATACAGAGAATGTGTAAGAGGTATAAAAACCAATAGTGAAGAACTGGCGTTGGCAACACATCCTAAAATATAGTCGCAATGGCGGTGAATTGGAGTATACAGTGCATGTAATTAAACACACAAATAAAGCTAGTAATGAACATCAAGAAAATTTCTACATCTACATATAGATGGAGGTTCTTACTTTTCTCGGCCAGTTCACGACGACTGATGCACCACTGGGTGGCTGCAAGGTGCATACAAATTTTGCCAGTGAATCAGTATGCCTGTGGCCAGTAACGTTTAGAATAAAGTATACAATTCATAGGTCACAGAAGGTGTTGAAAATGCTGTCCCCCTACACATAGACATTCCTTGCAGCAGCAGAAGGGGTTCTGATTAACCCTTAAAGCTGTTGTGCCATAATTGCTGAAATTTCCTTATGAATAGTCTTTTTAGTTCTTCCAGGTGGCATTAACTGTTTTAGAATTTGCCCTGCAAAGAACCACAGAAGAAAATATCTAAGAATTAAGGTTGGGTGAGTGTTCCTGCCAAATACCAGTGCTGATATCGCTCTCCCCAAAAGTACCAGGCAAAGCTTGTATAAACGTATGTGAAATGTGGGCAGTAGCTTAGTCTCGCTGAAACCAGCCATCGAGTCTTTTTTTCTTTTGTAACTCTCGAAAGAATTGTCTGAAAATGACCTGTACATAATTTTTTTACTTGGTGAGGGTGGGACTCAGTCCACTTGATACGGCATCCACTTGTGGCCAGTTGTACCAGCCTCAGATGATAGGTGAGGATGGTTATGGAGCAATTGGTGGAATGAAGATTAGCAGGGGAAACCGAAGTACTCGGAGAAAACCTGACCCAGCGCCAATTGTCCACCACAAATCCCACTTGACCAGACCCGGTATCGAACGTGGTCTGCCGCTGTGAGAAGCCAGTGAGTAACCGCTTGATCTATGGCGTGGCCTTGGAACTGTACATATCTTTCACAATTAATTGTTCCTTTAAAAAAACGCAGGTAGAGCAATCCTTGTTGTCCTCACAGCAAACCAGACTCCAACTTTCACTGGATGGAGCCATACTTCGTCAGTTGGATGTGGATTTCGTGAATTCCAGTTGCAATTATTTTTTGTATTTATGTATCCCTTCAAGTGAACCCATGCCATGTCAGTGTGAGATGAATCTCATCTTCAGTGATCCACTGCAGAAACCAACTGCAAAAATGAACCTGGTTAGTTGGATCTCACAGCTGCAAGGCATGCATTATTACTAGGGCCCTGATTTTTATGACCTAAAAACCGTAAATATATGCATGCACTTATGACCCAAAATTATGTCTAGTATGACACAAAAATGTAAAATATGACCTTAAATATTAAATGGGACATATAATTTCACAATTTTAATTATAACTTTTACTAGAGTTTAAGAATAAAAATGATGAATATATGATAGTAGGCCCTACTTACCAAATTAGCCCTATTGTGTTTCTGAACGAAAGAAAACTGATGGAATTGTGACATTTTGTACTGGATTAAACTCTCTCTTCTTTTCTTTTTAATATTGATTTTTGCATTCATATTTTAGACAAACACTGGTGCACGTGATATAAACATTAACTTAACTCTGTTAGCTAAAAACACAATACAGAAGAACACAAGCTTATTCGGCTCTCAGTTTTCAGTGTTCCTGTAACACAAGATATTCACTTCTCAGTTTTCACTGTTACCATTGTAATTTATAACTACCTGCATTTTCATATTTTCAGATTTGAGAGATCGCCGATTGTCACTGAGGATAGTTTTGTATTAGGACAAACTTCGTTCCACATCACATGATGTGACAGGAGCATAATTGAAGAATGTGAGGTCATTTTGTGACAGTTCTGGATCATCTTCGAATGTTTGTGGTTTATCAGATTTTATATGTGCAGTCTTGCTTATTGTTGAATAACCAGCATTCTGATGAAGAACACTTTCTATTTAGGTTTTAATCTTGTTGCTTGCTTCACCACGAGATCGGTTTAGTTCATTCTCACTGCTTTTTACAGCGTCCAACGCATCACGGAGTTCAGTCCCTACAGCTTCCAGGCGAGTTATTGCACTTGAAATTGAACAGACGTTTGACTTTATAGCTATCAGATTTTGTGCTAGAGCAGTAGATAATACGAGGCTCGTCCACAAAGTAAGTTTCCCTGGTGCCGTTTACAGAAACAAAACACAATTTCATGGAAATATTTATTGCAACAGATACAGCAAGTGCTCAGCTATTTTTTAACATAATCGCCACCGGAATTGAGACATTTGTCATACCGTGGGACCAACTTTTCAATACCCGTGTTGTAGAAGTCTGCCACCTGGGATTGGAACCACTGTGTGACAACCATCTCTGCCTCTCTGTCATTCTCAAAAAGCTGACGCTCACCGGATAGGAATTTCTTCAGGTGTAGGAAAAGATGGAAATCACTGGGAGCGAGGTCCGGGCTGTAGGGTTGATGATTAAACACATCCCAGCTGAACTCTTGCAGGAGACTTGCTGTCCGTCGAGCCATGTGCGGCCTAGTGTTATCATACAGGAAGACAATACCAGCACTAAGCATCCCGCGCCGCTTGTTCTGAATGGCCTCGTCACAATTTCTGCAGTGTTTCACAGTAACGCTCAGCATTCACCATTTCACCTCTGGTCAGGAAGTCGACGTGGAGAGAATACCCTGCGCATCACTTTCCGTGCTGACGTCTTCTTGAATTTCGTATGCAGGGAAATCCACTGTGCCGCAAG